CTCACTGCAGCTGCTGGCCGCTCACGCTGGCTGCTGGCTACATACGGTAGCCCATGGCAACCCACTGCCACAGGAGCTGCAGCCTACGCCGTCGCCTCCAGCGACTCACAGCAGCCCAGCTCCAGGTTGAGCTGTTGTTCAGCATCTTAGCTTGTAGAGGGCAGTGTCACTGGCCCTCATGTGGGATCCGAACCGGGGCCCTCTGGCGTCCCAAGCCAGTTCTTAACCATTGCGCTACTCGACCAGCCCAAGCCTATTTATAATTGTTTTAAAGTCTCTGCTACTTCCTGTCTTTCATTTCTATATCTGTTTCTATTGATTAATTTTTCTCCTGGTTATAGATCACACTTTTCTGCTTCTTCACGTTTAATAATTTTTTATTGTATGCTGGACAAGATTCTTACAGTTTTGTATGTTTGGATTTTGCTGTCTTTCTTTAAAAGTGTTAAATTTTATTTTGTGTAGGCAGTTAAGTTACTTGTGGATCAGTTTAATCTTTTTCAAGGCTTATTTTTTAACTTTGTTAGGATGGACCTAAAGTAGTCTACTCTAGAGCTAGTTTAGCCCTACTCCTAAGGCTTCACCCTTCTGGTACAATAAAACCTTGGATTGCGAGTGACTTGGTTTATGAGTGTTCCTCTAGACGAGCAAGCATTTCTAATACATTTAACTGAGTAAATGAATGATGTCTCACAATACGAGTAGTTTGTTTCCGGAATGAATTATGCTCGCAAACCAAGGTATTACTGTATTTCTACAGAATGCCCTAGGTGTTCAATAAGGTCATATAACTGGCTGGTCAGAATTGAATATCTCTTTTCCCTACACATGTGCAGCTTAGTATTCAGCATCAGACTCAAGGAGATCTGTATGAATATTTCTGGATCTGCTTCTGTGCTTAATGCCCTTTCTGATACTGTTCCCAAATTTCATGCATTTATGTTGTGGAAGTTCAGGATTACATCATAAGCCACTCTCACATTTATCAATACCCTAGAGAAATATTTGAGGTAAATCTAACACTGTGCATTCTTTCATGTCTACCTCTCACCAAGGTCCTAATATTTGTTTTTCAGGTACAGCAGGTACAGACTGTGCAGCAGGTACAACATGTCTACCCAGCTCAGGTGCAGTATGTGGAAGGAAGCGATACTGTCTATACCAATGGAGCAATGTAAGTTTGTCTGTGCAAGTCTTTTTAATTCTCCCTCTTGAAGCCAAAGATCCTCTATTGGAGCAGTTTCCATGGGGTATACAGTCCAGCCATGCTCCCTCTGTTATATGTCAACTTATAAGATTTTCTCCAATAAGGCTTATTTTATATTTGCAACACACGGTGCTAGTGATTTGCACAATGTAGAAGAAGAGGAATACATATATAATTGGACTTTGTGTGTGTGTATGAATATATACCCACAAAAATCCAAGTATAATAAAATATATGTGGAAATTCTTGATTAATTTAGGGAACACTTCAGTTGTCTCTTGCATAGTTCAAAAAAGGAATGTTTCCAGAATTTTTTAAATGCTTTTGTTTTCTTTTTTAAAGGAAAACATGTATTTGAAATGTGATTACCTGATTTTTACAACACTAGGCTACTAGGAGTAAGTTTTTTTAAATGACTGTTCTGTATAAATAGGCTATTTGAAATTCAAGTACAAAAAACATCAGAAATTAAAAACATTGTCTTTTGGCCATGAGACAAGTGCACTAGGGCAGTGCCATTCGCTCAGTTCGCAACTGCCCTCCTGTGTGTGTAATTCCTGAGGTCTTTTGTCATTATTATACACATAGGCTTTCCTGTCTGGTTCTTAGAAAAGTCAGACTTCCAAAGCACTGTTGAGTATTGAGGATTGTATTGTTAATGTTGACATTTGACTTGTATTTTAAATAGCAAAGATTATTAAATAAAGATAATATTTGTTTTATTAAAAGAAAACCTCTTCTTTTACGTTTCCTCTTCTTGCTGTCTGGAATACATATTCTGAATATATATATTCTGAATATGTATTCTGAATTTTATTTATATATATATATATATATAAAATTTGGCTCTATGTAGAGAGAGAGACAAAAAAGTGTATGTACATTTCAAGAAAAGAAAAAACAGTATCAAAATTATAATATTCAATATATATTGATAACAAAGATGAATACAAGTCATGTGTATACATTTTTTTGGCACCCCCGGTATATATTCAGAGGCTTTCCCAGAAACCTCCAGCTCACTTTTGCTTTCATCTCATTGGCCATAACTGTGTTACCTAGTAATCCTTAGCTGCCCAGGAATCTGGGAATGTGAGTTTGTAGCTTTCAAGTTTGTGTGCTACAAGGCGGCAAGGCAGTAAGGCAGTTGGAATGGGTGTTGAGAGAGTTAACTCTACAGTATCTATCACAGCCATTTATCATTGGTCCAAGGTAGGATGGAGAGATTACTAGTGTGCGGCTTTGTGAAAGTTACAGAATGTGCTTTTTCATCTATGAAATGAACTTAGGTTATCAAAAGTGTTGTGTGTAGCATCAGGGAAATAGTAAACACTTGATAAACATTAGTGATTGCTAAAAATTGTGTGCTATACTTATTTTTTTTACATTTTGTTTCTTTCCTATTTATGACTCTAAATTCTGTGTTATTGCCTTGTACAGTTTTGAACTACTTCACCACTGACCTTAGGGTCTTCCACATAATAGATAAATGTGTGATCAGTGAAGCAATTCATTCACAAAACCTTAGGAAAACAGCATCTCTAAAGTTGAGTCTTTAAAATTATATGGCCCACTTAAGTGCAGAAATGATTAAAAGTAAATATCTCGTGCCAACCAGTACTTTCTATGGCCCATTAGTTCAGTTGGTTAGATCATGACTAATGAGGTCTAGGTCATGAGTTCATTTTCCACAAAGTCCAATTAGCTTTGACCCTGTCTGTATGGTCCCAGATTGTATCTCAGCTCCAGCCTATAATATCATAAATGTGCACCCTTGGTCAAGATAAAGACAATGCATCTTTAAAAACCTTTCATTATTATCAAATTTAATTTTTGACTAAACATTCTGTAGCATCATTTTCATATTCACTAAAGAAACATTGCGTTGCCATGAGTTATAGTCAACATTTTAGTAGCTAGAGGACTATGCATTTTTTCTCAAATGTAACCAAAATAAATTTTTTCAGCATAAGCCATTCCAATTTTTCTTTAATTTTGTAGTGCTGACATTTGACTGTGTACAGTTTTTGTCTGTAATTTTCATTTTAGGCTTTGTTATGTACTTTTTATTTGATACACTTCCACATGTGTTAGGAAAGGGTATTCTATATTCTTCTATTCCACTGCAGTGAATTAATAGCTAGCTAGTGTGTGAGCCCTGACCTGGATCACAGTCAGATTTCCACTTCTGTGTGATAAATGCTTTTTGCTGATGATACTCGCTGATACTCCCAAAAGATAGGAATGGCAAATTTTTTTTTTTTAGCTGAGCCATCCTGCCACTTGTTGGCCGCTCAGCCGCAGCTCAGCTCGGGTGGTGAATTGAACCGGCGACCCTGTTGCTCAGAGCTTGCACTCTTGAACAATATATGGCCCTACAACCTGTACATGCTTAGTAAGTACTGGTTCACTGATGCTCCTGTCACCAGCATTCCCATGCCGAGTAACCATAATGCACGGGGTCTCACTCAAGAGATGATGGTAGCAGTCACAGAGATGTGTCATCACTTAGGAAAATGTGTAATCATTACAATTGGTTGATACGAAAGCGTTTACCTGGTTCTCACTGTGAATATGGACATTTATTGCCAGCATGACAGGCTTAATAGTGTGAGTGAGTGAGTGAGTGAGTGAGTATGTATTTCAATGTACCATTGAGACTGCTTTACGTGCTGGGAGTTGGGAGTAGAATAGCTCTTTACTCAAGGGAGAGGTAACTTAATTCACTTTTGCTCCTGTTTATTTTATCATTGCCACTCCAGTCACCCAGGCTGCACCATCTGTATATTTTCTTGCAATAGTTTTTTCCAAGAATATTTTTTCAAAGGTTGGATCATAGCCTTATTCATTTCTACAGATTCTTGCAATTTATGATCTCTAATCATTTCGAATACTATAATTAAACCAGCTGAGAAACATTTCATGCCATGGAGAGAGAGTCCAATCCAATTGAAATTTCTTGATGTAGCTAAGAAATAAATTTTTTTAAATGCAATTATTTTTTTTATACCCCTCCCTCCCCGCAATGCCTTTTACTCATCCTTTCCCCACTCACTCCTCCTTCACGTTAGTCAAGGTAGAAATAAAGACATCAAACTATATCATGGCCAAATTAAGAAATCCTGTTTTTGTTTTTTTAATTTTAAATGATTTTTGGTTTTGTATCAACTACTCTTTGAAGCTTATCTACTGTTGAGAGATGATCAATGTTTTAAAACGCCCAAATGTTCATTGTATGGATAACTTTTGTAAGACTTGACCAGTAGAAAACCTTCTCATATCTTTTTGTTTAGACTAAAGATTTCTCATCAATCCCAAGACAGAATTTATCAAACTGTGTTTCACAAAATGTTAGTGACTAACAGAGCTCTGTGGTACACAAGCAGGGAAATATTGCATGAAGACCCTTCCTTTGAGGACTTTAAATTCCTCTTATTACACTTTTAGAGGCTCTGAGTAGTCCTATAGGAAAGAAACGTTGTGTTTTTAAAACTAAACCACAGAACTCTTTTATCTGAATAATATCTAATAACATCAAATGGCATACTTTGAGAGGTGGTACATTATTTATATAGTGACATTGAATAGATTTATTCAAAATCCATAAGCATGTGTATAGGACTCATTTTTTAAATAGTCTACTTGAAGATCATATAGTTAGTGCATTTTCTGAAACCATCCAATTATTTTTTCAATACACTTTAAAAATTATTAATAAGGAATCTTAAAAGAGATATTCTTCAAGTTCATTTTTCATCCTTTAGTGAAATATGAGTTTCAGGATTTGCAAGTAAAATTAAGCTTTCTTCTTATTAAAATGCTCTCTGCTTAAAAGAAATGGTCATATGGAGTTTCTGTAATTGAGATGGAAAAGATGCTTTCTTCACTTATGCTTCTACTGATATGCTCATTCAAATTGGAGTAGGATCCGGTTTGTCATTTAGAGCTTAAGAAGCAAATGGCTAGTTACTTAGGAAGCTCTTAGAGGAAGAACAGCCCTGTTGTGGAAAGGAGCACCAAGATCTCTACAATTAGAGAGGGCCCATTTCATTAATCACATCACAATTCCCATTTCTCCCAAAATCGAAGACTTACAAATATGGCTTCTCAGAATGTCAGACTTAGGAAGTTCATGGAGATCGTTTATTCCACTCCTTCCACTTTACAGATGAGTAAAATGAGACACAGAGCAATGCAATAATTTGACTGGCTAGTTCGTGTCCAGAGTTCATATTGTCTGACCTCCTTTCCAGTGATTTGCAGATGATGGTCTTCTGATCCTGAATTATTTGGGCAGTTGGGGAGAAGGGTTGGCTATTACAAAAAAAATTTTTTAGTAAATTTTATACATTATACTATTGTATATCTTACTGTAGATAGATAATAAACTAGTGATGTTTTTATGGCTGATGACTCTTTAAGAGTCTTTTGTCATTCATATGAATCTCTTTTGTTATATTTTTATGGTTTTATTTTGTGACTACAGAATGTTCTTTGGATATTCATAAAATATAGAGAAAAGTCCATATTTAACAGCGTTTTAACATCAAGTGGTTTAGTTAAATAGCTTTTAAGAGGGAAGGCTATTCTTTGACTGCCCTGTCTATATACTTTTTTATTATATTCCATTAGTAGAATTAAATGATGCATATTAATGGCAATTTTTTTCTGTGATATTTTCATAACCTGAACCTTGACATCCAGAATAGTTCTATAAGAGAACACTGAGGAGAGTTTAAACACTTAATTTTTCTCTTCCCTCTGTTTTTTAAGAAAGGAAGAAATGAAAGAAGCCATATATGCTTCTTTAGGTTTAGATCCAACTTGTGTTATTAATTTTTTTAAATGAACTTCAGAGACCCATGTTCAATTATCATTTCTCCCACTGACTATAATTTAACTTCAGGCAAATAAAATACTTGCACCTAGATTTACTAACCTGGAAAATGGGGATTAATAATTGAAAG